TGTGGCTCCTTATTTTCTTCCTCATCCGCAGGGGGATGGAAAGAGTGAGTTTCGTATACTCAGTAAGAAAAATATTACTTAAATAACATCATAAGGTTTTAAAAGTAAATTAGTTTAATAAAAATACTTACCATTTGGCTACTTCGTAGACCTATCTTACATTATGAAAATAATTTATTTATTAAGAAAACAGTAAATTAATATAATCAAAACAGACACGCATCAAATAAGATAATAGAGAAAATCAAATAAATCATGAAATGCTCAGCTTTTCATGTAATGCTTCATGAAGTCATTACAACTTCTATCTCTAAAGGCATATATAGATTTGAAACTACCCATGTGGAATGACAAGATCATATACAGATAACGGCAATTTGCTCATGCACAATTTTGCCTGGCCAAACCATGGTACGATATATGATCACAGCTATACCAACCATAGTAGTCCTATCATATATCAACAGTCACGACATTACTTAGCCAAAGGTGACCCTTAACAGATATTCGTGTCACCACCCTCATCAAAGGGTACGTCATTATCCACAAAGAGCGGTCCTCTTATATCTTTCCAGACTATATGAGGAGGGGGACACAAATACCCCGGATGGGCTAGGGGAACAGATACCTCTTATAAATACAAAAAGCCTAACGAGACATTTGAACCATTATACATATTAATACAGATACATATTTCGGATTGTTCATGCTTCATTCCACTTTTTTTCTTTTTTTTTCTTTTATCTTTCCATATAACAATACCGAGTTCATATTATTTTTATTACATGCAAAATATCAAGTGTCTATAAATCACATAGTATGCTTGAAAATAAGAATAGTTCAGCTTATAAGACCTACCTGTTCAAGCATGCAAAACAGGCAAAGTCATAATTATCATAATTTAATAATTTTTCTTTATCTTAAAATACTCTTTAAGACGTTGAAAGAAATACTAAATTCTTTACCAAAACCTTGATATTTCCTCCTTCACTGTTCTTCTTTTCTTTCCTTCCTCTCTCTAAATAACTCTTTCTCTCTTTCTCTCTCTTGAAGTCTTGAAAAATGGAAGAATGGAAGTGTGGGGAAAAAGGGGAAGTGAAGACTATTTATAGAAATTTAGAATCGTTGAATTCGCACCAAGTGGCAAAATTCGGTGAAGAGAGAGTAGAAAAAGATGCTCGGCACGAAAACGAGAGAGAAAGGTATCCACCACCGACGTCGGCAGTGCATCGCCCAAGGCACCGCGGTGCACTACCCGAGGTGGTAGTGGCTCGCCTTGTGTGCTAAGCACCGCGCATGCAGGCCCTAGGTGCACAGGGGCCTATCCGCGCAGTCTTGCGGCGTGGAAGACCGACCTATGCACGACAAGAGGCGCAGAGGGTCTGACCCTATGCCACGCAAGCGAATGGGAGGTGTGCGTTGTGCGCACCTTCCTCGTCGGTTGGACACGCGTGCACACGCGAGCAGCTTATCTTCCCCATGGGATTTTTTTCCCGTTTCACCGTTTTTTTTTTCAAATTTTCTAATTTTTTTACTAAAATAAAATAAATAATATAAATGCAATTAAACTAAAATTAAATAAAAATAATAAAAATAAATTAATATTAAATAAAATCAAAATAATAAAAAAAAAATTAACAAGATTCACGTTTTATGATAAATAATATGCATAGTAAATTAAAAGGGACGAATAAATAGAATTTTTTAAATTAATTAAACACAGCGATAGACGGGTGTTACAAACACCATTCGATATAGTGGTGTCACATCAGACTAGGCCAAAGTGGCCATTTTCGGGTTTGCCTTGTTTCCCCCACTTTGGTTTGTATGTGAATATATATACACCTATAATTTTAATCTAATACACAAAATAATAAAAACACCATTTTAAGGCTGGATTAATGGTATTTGCTTGTTGGATTTATATTTATACGTATATATTTACATATATATACATACACATATCTGTGTATATATTTGTACTTATATATTTATTTATATATTTATATATTTATACATATATATATTTACTCCTCCATTTATGTATTTATGCATATGTTTACATAATTATACATACACACTTCTATATATAAAAGTTTAGTTCAGTTTATATATAATATATATTTTATTTTATTGTTATTATTGTTATTATTATTATTATTATATATATTTTTAATTCATTTAAAGTTATAACAATTGAAGTAATAGAGTTATATTATTCTTACAAAATATCATTATTGAAAATATCTCTCTCATTAAAATTTTAAAGTTTCATTTTTTCCACTTCAGTATAATCGTACCAAAATTGTTAATCCCTTTTAAATTCATTTTATTTAAAATAGAAAATTATTATTTATAAATTAGTGAATAAATCATATGATAAAATGCCTTATTAGATAAGGGTTTATGGTAGCACATAGTAGCTGGCTATTACATTATACACCCTTTAAATAAAATTTGTCCCCAAATTTTGAAATTCTACCCTGAGTACAAATCTCTTATAGTAGTGTCCAAGGATAAGCATTGGATAGTCATGAGTAGAACTCAGAAATCATCAGTGTGTGCAAGGAAACCATAACTCATACTAGATTTAGTATGTAGTTTGTTCTGTCATAGTGTTTACAAGACATGTGTCAGGTGTACTGAATGATCTATCAGATTATGAGAATAGACAAGTATGTTATTGACAAAGACTATAACATACTTATCTAACACTGGTCTGAATACTCGGTTTAAAATTCATTTCTATTCTTGTTAAAGAAAATTTTATATATTAGTTTAAACTATATTTAGAAAAACTTTTAATTAGTTACGTTATAATTTAATAGAAATATAAAATATGATATCTTTATTATTTATTGTTTACATTGATTTATTTAGAGTGAGTAAGATGTACTATTGGGAAGAATGAAGTGTTATTATTTTATGGAAACAATCAACGGTAACAAGATAGGCAGCCAACCAATCCATACTCATGATAACCTCAAACCCTTGAAAACGAAAGAGTAGAAGATCAATTGGTAAGTTCTTACCTATTATCTTATTCTTATAAGATTTAAACATCACCTAGACGCAATTAAATTCTTAGCTGGTGTTCCTGGCACTACTATTTTTTCTAAGGTTCAGGCTTAATAATTATCTTTTCAACAAAATTAATTAAAACAAAGGAGTGTATAACATCTTAATCAACAATGACACATGCAAAAGAGTTAGAAATAAAAAGTGTACCTTCCATGATTATAGGAGTAGCCCTAGCAACAAGCTCAACTAACTTTTTCCCACATCTCCATGCAACCTGATGATGGTGGGGATGGGGACAATCTCTAGCATAATGCCTTAGATCCTAACAACTAAAACACGCATTGTTGGCTCTATAATATGAGTGCCTACTTTGAAAAGGAGTGGAAACCATAATGGAGGTCACTCCGAGTGACATGACCATAGAAAGGCATTCCAGCTACCCAATAAGCAACAATCAAAATTCATGCCAACCCAGAGATAAAACTCAGAAGAAGCATGTACCAGGAAAATGGAGTCGAGATTCAATAACAAGGCCCAATCCCATTAAGCCCAAGGATCCAGTTCGTGTAAGCTTAGATCAGGTAAGGTGAATCATCAATGCCATCAAGACCGAGAAGCCTTATGGGCCGCCAAGACAACTGGCCCAAAGAAGCATCAAAGATGATGAGTTGTAGGCTTTCAAATTGGTCCAGTAAGATGAAGATAGTATACCCAAGGCCGTGTATGGAGGAAACATCCGCATATGGTTGACCTAAGTCACCCAACCCACTCCATAACCTGTTAGGCCAAATTTACAAGCTAGTAGGTTGTGTCTAAGGAGAACTTGTGGCCCATGCCGCACGTCCCTGCGGTGGACTAACGGGCCCATCGAGGAGACTCGAGAGCTAGCCCTCATCTCGAGACCGACCCAACGGGTCCACACCTATAGAAAAAGCTATAAGGTTGATCAAACGACCCAATAAGCTGACTGTAACAACTGACCTAGCAACAGTCGCAGGCACAACCAAGGAGAAAGTTAGGCGAGCCGCAAAGCCATAAGGCCCGATGGCTGCACATGTGGGGGCCCAACCCAAGTTGCGCGCATGTGTGCAGGCTTCCCTAGGCAACACTAATGATGAGTGTGACGTGTGTGGGGAAAGGGAAGAGATGACATCCCTTTTGGACTCCTTTTCACCGCATGTTCTATGTGAATTTCAAAACCAAATTCAACAAATTCACATGGTAATGATCTTCTATTATTTATTATAGTTAAATTTTAAATCTATCTAGGGACTAAATTATATAATATTTTTACCTTAGGATTATACTAGACTATTATTTTATTATGATTTTAATCCTAAGACTTTATCCTATTATTATTTTAATGTAAAATCAATTACTAAGAATATTTAATTAATTATTTTGTATATAGATGGGATAGAATAAATATTTTATTATGTAATTATCCTATATTAAATAGAATTTTACTAAGATATTATTTTATTAATTTCTTCAAGAGATTGTAATTACTTAAAATTATCCCGAGGAAGGTTATAAATAGAGCTTTGCCCATAGGTTGTAAACACACCACTTATAATCAATTTGAGAGAAACTCTTGAAAGATTAGGCTTTTCTTCAATTAGCTTTTTACCAAGTTTTAGTTTCTTCAAGTTCTTCGGGAAGCAGGAGTCTTTAGAAGTCTTGTTGAGCCATGGAGCTTGTGACATCCCAAATGCTAATTAAGGCAAATGGGTGTTAGATATAGAAACAGGATTACGAGTGCATGATAAAATTTTATGCAGCAGAACAAATTAATACAAATCCTTTACAAATATATATGAGTTCCAAATTATATACATATAACCTAGGCCAGAAGTGGCTACAAAATACGAAGTCAAAATACAAAAGAGGGGCACTTCTTTCACTATGCTATTGAACTCATCAAAGTGCGAGAATGATCATGTACTCAAATTTTATGGATCCACAGGTTCCTCATTAACATCAATGGGTAGGTCAGCTGGCGATACCTCATTTTCTTCTTTATCTAAGGAAGCATGGAAAGAGTGAGTTCCATATGCTCAGTAAGAAAAATAGTATTTTAATAACATCGTAAGCTTTAAAGGTGAATTATTCTAACATAAATACTTATCATCTAGATACGTTGTAGACTATCTTACATTATGAAAATAATTTATTTATTAAAGAAAACAACATGTTAATATAATCAAAACAAACACATATCACCCAGATAATAGAGAAAATCAAATAAATTATAAAATGCTCAGATTTTCATGTCATATTTGACAAAATTGTTACAACTTCCATCTCTGAAGGCAGATGCAAATTTCCAACTACCCATGTGGAATGAACAGATCAGATACAGATAACAACAATTTGCTCAGGCACATTTATGACTTGCCAAACCATGGTATGATCCATGACCACGGTCGTACCGATCATAGTGATCCTATCAAATTTTCTATAGTCAAGACAAATACTTAGCCAAAGTTGACCTATAACAGATACTTGCGTCACCACTCTTGCTAGAGGGTATGTTACCATCCACAGGGAGGGTCTTCTTACGTCTTTCCAGACCAAATGGGAGAGGGAAAAATAGATACCCTTGATGGGGTTAGGGGAACAGATACCTCTCAAAGATAAAAAGCCTAACGAGACACTTGATGCATTATGCATGTCAATATAGATACATATTTCGTACCATTCATGCTTCATTCCATATTTCTATTTTTCTTCTTTTTTTGTTTCTTTTATTTTCTAAGTAACAATATCGATTTCATATTATTTTTATTACATGCAAATCATTAAGTGTTTATAAATCACATAGCATGCTTGAAATCAAGAACAATTTAGCTTATTAGACCTACAAACACAATTATTATATTTAATAATTTTTCTTTTAACTAAAAATATCCCTTAATATGTTTAAAGAAATACTAATTTTCCTTATGAAACCTTGATAATTTCTCCTTCACTATTTTTATTTTCTTTCTCTCATTCTCTCTCTAGATCACTTTCTCTCTCTTTCTTTCTCTAATTCTTGAAAAGTTACAAAATGGAAGTGTGGGGAAGAATGGGAAGGGAAGACCCTATTTATAGAAATTAGGAGCTGTTGGAATCGTGCCAAATGATGAAATTCGGTGAAGAGAGAGCAAAAAATGATGCTCGGCATGAAAAACGAGGGAGGAAAGTCTCCGCCGGCGGTGCCCCACCTGAGGTGACGGTAGTGCACTACCCGAGGCGGCAATGACCCGTTAGCGTACTAGCCTGCAGGCACACGACCCTCTTGTCATGTGCACAGAAACTAGCCTATCCAGGCACTGGACCCAGGCGCGTTGGGCATCGCGCGCATAAGCCCCAAGCGCACAGGGGCTTATTCGCATACGCCTGCTGTGCGGACGGTGCACGAACAATTTGTAATGCCAGTCCGCATGCGAGGCGACATATGGATGGCCTTCCTGTGCACAAAAGGACGCATGCAGGGTCTGACCCTGCACCACGCACATGGATGGGATGTGCGCGTTGTGCTCATGTCTCATGTCAGTTGTGCGCACGTGCACAGGCACCCACACAGGCAACTCCCCTTTCCCACGAAATTTTTCATATTTCACCATTTTTTCATTTTTTTATTTTTTTATATTGAATTAATATAAAATAAAATTAATGCAATTAAATTAAAATAGAATTGATTAAAATAAAATTGATAAAATTTAAGAATTACGATAATAATTAACGGAATAAATTAAATAAGTTTCAATACACCCTAAAAGCCCGAATAAATAGGATTTTCTAAATTAATTAAGCATAGCG